CTGCTCTCAGAGCAACTAACACAGTACAAAATCCCAGCCACCCTCTCATCTCATGCTTCACCTTTATCCCATGTGGCCGTAGATACAGACAGCTGCTCTACAAAGAGGCACGCTTTGGAAAAAATTTTGTGCCCTGCAATATAAGAGCATTAAACTCACAGACAAGTTAATTTTGCCACTCCTGTGTTATATGTGTACATTGTCTGTATATGTGTACTATATGTAGTTTGTGTGTAGAATTCATGTTGAAGATGCTCTTTGTACAGACTGTGAAAACAAATTTCCTCCACTGAGGACAATAAAGAATGAATCTGAATCTGAATCACTGAAAACACTGGTGATTCAAAATGCTTCACGTGGCACATGATTTGAATTTGTACAAGTTAAATGCCAAGTGACACCTTTTTTTTAGTAATGAAAGTGCCCTCACTAATAAAGGCAGTCCTTTGTCTTCATTAAGGAAAGCTGACCTAATTGTGATGCCATTGTTTTGGTTGCCTCATTAAGGTCTTCATGTCAGCTCATCACCCCTAAAATGTCTCAGAAGAGACTCCATTATTTGGAATCCATTGCAACTTGGTAATGGTCCATAGCCACAAAACTCACCAACTTTTCAGAAATCATTTTTCTAGTTGTAATCTCTGCTGTCTGACTTCAGCTTCAGTCGTCTCTGTCCTGCTGTTATTACAGACATGTTTGAACTAGCTGTGACCCACTCACCCATGGTCGCTCATGGTCTGTCCGTGACATTTAGCTCACAAACATCTAGGGCTTAACGATGTTCATTTAAGACATAAATATTGAATAAACAAAGATATTTGATCATTTTTCAAAAGACAACCATCCTTATCTAAACATACATACAAACATCAATGGATTTTAAATTATGTTTTCTCACTTCTGGAACAGAACCTGGAAGCTCCGGTTTAATTTTGACTTAATAATTGAATATATAAATGAGATTTAAACCCTATAACATAACACTAGCTATACATGTCATTTAAATATATGTTGTCTCAAATGAAGTGGGCTAACATGCTCATTAGATTTTGTTTCAGGATGTTTTCTCATGACATCCTTAAAGGAAATTATCTCAATTGTCTCAAAACTCATCTTATTACCACCAATGCCATAATATCTATTCAAATAGTTTTCAGTCTGTTCAATATATATGTTAATACAGATGTGAACATGTCATCAGATGTTCAGTGTTTACGGTCAGAGCACACAAACAAAAAGCAAGTCGCCTGGAAACAAGTGAGCATTGAAGAGCAATTGAGGTAATCAGCCTCCCCTTGATGCAGATTGTTGTAGGCATTCATTTAAAACTCTTTTGAGAAAGACACTTTCAATTAAAAACAGCCCAGAGGAGGTTTGTGGCTGCGGTACTGCAAGAATTATCTTGTTGAATCCAAAAATTGGATCTAAAAGTTCAATCTAACTGTTAATTAGAAAGAAAACAAACATTGGAATACACATTAAGGCGACAGCAGTGTCTTTTATCAGCTGTTCTTGGACATCAGACATATACCAATAAACACTAATAATATAGGTAACTTATAATGATGGGTTGTCATGACAACCGGGTGAATCGCTCAGTTTACATTGTCCTGGTTCTATATTTAGGTCTATTGTTGAAAGATGCACCGCACAGACTCTTGACACAAGCCTTACTAAGAAGTCAAAGCCTGTAAAAATTGAAATTCACCTGATGAGACAACTTGAGACGTATCATGGAGGACCAGCCTCACGGTTATTAGCTGGCATGCTGACAAAATGTCAACATGTTATTCCAGGGAGAGGCTAGCATAGCAACTGCACAAGAAGAAAATCTGACACGAGCTGCGAATTCCTGACAGATGCCGTTACACAGAGAACGTACCCCTCGCAACGCTGGAATTTATTCACATCATGTGTGCCTTTCTTTTCTGAGTTATGTCGTATTCTGAGAAAATGTTCAGATACTATATACATCTGGACAACAGCAGCAACAACAGCTACTCATCTGTTTCTGAAGATTAGCACGAGGGTTAAGTGTACCTTCACAGGAAAGACATTTCTTTGAAATTAAAGGATGGAGGAACATATTTGTCTGGCCTTGATTTACGTGTAGTCAGCAACTCTGAAGGGCGCCGTGACGTAACAGGACGAATATGAAACTCCTGCAGGCAATGAGAACGTACAGCCAACACAAACACAGGAACTTATAAAAACAGATTAAGATAGCAGAAAACATCATGAGAACATTAACATTTTAATTACACCATACCAAAGGAGCACTCAAGTTGCAGCCAAAATGCAGTACACATTTTTTGCCCAAACTAAGACAAAAAAATATCAAGCCACAGAAATGTATAATTCTGTGAGACTATATATAAAATTGTCAACTGACAGACAGACAACTAACAGCTGAAGTAGGGGAGAGCGTTATGAGTGACAGCTATCTGCTGAGCGATAGCCACAGCTAACTTTAGCTAAAGCTAAATTTACTGATTTTTCACTGTAACTAATCTGTAATTCAAAAATAATCACTTTGATTAATCAACCTCCTGGCAATTTAGGTTGTTATTCCATATGACTATATAAAAATTCAGCCAAGATTGAAAAACAAGAGAGATAAACTCCTTTTAGCTGTAGGTTAATTAGCTTAGAGTAGCAGCTACTGACTTCTCAGCTGTTGACTCTAGTGGAATTTAATGTAATTTGGTGTAACTAAGAGATCACATATTGGAATGTATTAAATTATAAATTAATTAATTGATTTAAATATACTGTATATAATAATAGTTGGCAGACATACAGACAGGAGCAACAATATGGACCATAAATAATCAAAACAAAAGGTTCAAATTGACAGGAATCTGAAAGAACACACATTTGTGAGTGCAGTATCTGCTTTTTTAGGTCTTATGTAGATTGTATAGTAGTTTTTTAGGTTCCTAATCAACCTAAAGATTAAAGCATTACAATAGGGTGACCAGACGTCCCCATTTTCCGGGGACAGTCCCCAGTTTTGGGGGCCTGTTGCAATTATCCTTACATTATTTAACTTGCTGTGTACCAACCAATCCAGTCCTTTTTACCTGTTAAAATACCTTTAAATGGCCAATACACCCCATGTAATGCAGGATTCTACTTGCCAGAAAGTGATGCTTCTACTTTTTGACTGAAAGGTAGTTCCTACCTCAAAATGACTTGATTTCATTCAGAAGAGTTACATTTGACAGATTATTAAATCAATATTGTCTCCCTTTTTTATTTCATGTATAATAACATTATATTTTTAATGAGAGACTGACCACCAAACCAAAAATGTCCCCAGTTTTCATTTCAGAAATCTGGTCACCTTACATTACAATAACAACCTCTCTATCTGTTACATAGTTTGCCAGTCAGCCGTTCGATTTTATTGCTGCTGTAGTTACTGCTCTCTGGCTTTGTTGAATATTCTTCCATTCGACCCACTGTAGTTTTGGATGTGGCCCTTGCGTGTTCAGTTTAAACAGCAGGGCTTAGATCCTATGTGAGTTCTGAGAAGCAGCTAGTGTGAGCGGACTGACAGCTGATTGCGCTATGGTTTAATCTTGTTAGGGATTTTCAAAAGTGCTGCGTCCACTCAGATCTGGAGATAGGAGCGCCGTGCAGCCTTTGTGTGCAAAATTTCAACGCTCCCAAAAAGAAGGACAAAGGGGCCCCCTGGTGATGTCATTCTGCTGTCAGCAAGCAGGGCCCTTGCTACGGGGGTGGGGGGCAGGACAGGACATACTGTGATCATCTCTCCCCCACCACCTACCACCGTGGCCCCAGCACCTGACCCTGAACCCCTCTAAAACCAACGTACCAACCTCTGGGGTTAAGTACAAAACCAAAATCTGAGCTGGACAAACATTAATTCAAAATATTTCTGACCTTACAAGGCCTAAACCTGCCCACAAAAACTACAAATGATGCATATATATGTCATGTTTCTTATGATACGTGTCACTCCAGCAAACTTCCAGTCATATTCAATTACCATCAGTGCCATGAAGGAGCAGCTGCCCTTATTTATCAGGGCTGTATCTTGTCCTGTCCATCCACATGTGTCACATGCTCCCGGTGACTTGTGTTCTGTAATAATACCTGCATCAGCATATATGTCACTGTTTTCCACATTTGGGTTTCCGTTGATTCAGTAGCCAAAATTCATTTGAGTATTATTATTACACAACAGTTTTTGATTTCCAAACATATTCAGCTTATTATTGTCTGAAATTCAATAATTATAATGTTTTTTAAAGAGATTTAGTATTGCATGTTTATAAGTTAGTACTTAGTGGAGATTTTCTCATGTTGTTCTGCACTCTAACACATGTGTACTACATTGCTTAACCTTTAAAGACCTATGACTCTACTTAACCTAAGCCTAATATGTGACACAAACTGAGTTTTGGCCCCTTGGCACTTTTGTGTCTTTTTTATTTTGCAATGTGAGTTGTGTGAGGAATTGTTGAGCCAGCTTCACATTCCCTGAAAACAGCTTCATAAATCTCAGCTGTGTGTGTGTGAAAACAGACAGATGTGTCCTAACTTAGCAAACTACACTGCACAGCAACTCCTGTTTCCAAGAAACTGTATGTCGATTGACTTCTCCCCATTTGTAGAGAGTGAATCTGGAGATGGTCTGTCGGCTTATGTTACAGTACATATCACACACACACAGTGTTCAAAAATACAGGGATAAGCTTGTGTCACATATAGACATCTTACACCTGGTTTCAGATATAGCATACACACCCAAGTGATTGCGGGTATTTATGGGCACAAGTCATGTATGTTCATCAGAAATGCCATCCCCTCACTCTCTTACACACCAATCAGCCACACGTGCAACTCCTCAAAACGTGTCAGCCCCCGTGGTGTCCCGTTTAAGTCAGAGTGTTTCCTCACTACTGTAAATCATTTGCATGACCCGTTACAACATCAGCAAGTCCCACCAAGCGGGAGAGACAGTTACGCAGAAACGGACAAGCAGCCACAGCCGGTGCTGTGAACATATGGAGTTTGACGGATGAAAGACAAACATCCCTTGGGGCCACAGGGCTTGAGTTGTGAATGACCCTGGTATTCAACAGGCAGCCAGACTATAGATCACCAGGGTATGGAGAGGTGTAAACTCACTGTGCAGACTGTGTTTGTTGACTTTGTATGACGTATGTATGATGTATCAAGTCTTATTTATTTACCAAACTCTCTGAGAGTATTCTGCTCCACAAAAGAGTTTGCAGACAGTTATTAGCCAATAGAGCAACTACGTCTGAATAAATGTGTTTTAAGTTTTTGTCCTATTAGCGACCAAGCTACACTAACCAGCTAACAAGCATGCTAAATGAAAGTTAGTTCCCTCTTCAGTAACTCTGTAGAAATAAAATATGTACACTCTTGAGAAAAAAATGCCACAGGGGGAGAAACTGTCAGGTATGGAAATAATCGAGAGAAGCTCTGAGAGCTGTTGTGACTGACGAGTGCTAGCATGTTCCCGGCAGGTTAGTGTGTTAGCTCGCTAGATACAGTAGTTCACTAACTAGCCCATCAAGCTTATGAAGGGAAGATATAGTATTTTCAAGAGAGAAGCACAAAGTACAGCCACATTGTAAAGCAAAATACAGTGCAATGTCAAAATGTAGGTTATTCTATGTATAAAAGGTAAAAAACCAACAATAATATAGACAAAAAATGTAAAACAGTCTTAGTAATCGTACAAGCTACTGTTCTTGAAGGCCAGCAGATGTAAAACTACAGACAAAAACAACAGACTGAATTTTAAATGCTTGTAACCTTTCAGAGAATGAGGATCATCCTTTGAATCCATTTAATTAAGTAAAAGTCAATTATTTAAAAAAACAAACAAACGTTTTTTTTTTTTAAATGAATAAATCTCCCACATGACATCAGGATTTTATCATATTCTATGTACAGACACATGGTTAACCATGAAGGAAGTCTGCCCAGATGAGAAGCCATCCAGCTGCTGCCGTGACATAGGCAGGCTGACGCTTTGACCACCTGTAATGGTGTGTTGGCAGATGACTTCACGGCAGCTCTTGGAGGAAGCCATGTGAAATCCATTGACGGCAGAAAAAAGGCTGGCCTGCCTCACCCGTCCGGAAACTAACAAGTAAGAGAAGAGGGTGTCAGAGCCTCCCGTTCTGATCATTACTGAAGCAGCAGAGAGGAAGCATCGTCTCAGGTTCAGCATAACAGGGAAGTGGTGGGTGTTTGCATGGAGCACCAGCTTAAATCTGGAGGTGTAAATGTGCAATTTACATACAGGTTAGCATGTTTTTTTTAATGAAAAACTTTGATCCCTTTGAGCATCTGGACTGAATGATGATATAGCAGCTCAACTCAAGGCCTTTATTGACTGCAAAGTGACTGATGTGTTGAGACAAGCAAAATGCAGGGGCTTCTGTTTGCAATAACTGTCTTTCATTTATATGAGAAACAAGGGGCTTTTGAAGTGGAAAAAACACCATCTCTGCAATGTGTTCATTAAAAAAGTAATTACACTTTTCTCCTGAAAGTTCACCATCCGGGTACTGAGTCACAGCACTTTCAAGAAGGACCCCTGCACTGCACGTTTCCCCTTTACAAAGAGCTTCAATAAGGACAAAGCACACGTTTCCCATAAATACCTGAATTTGGCCAGTTAATGATGCTTGCACAAATGGCCCCCAACCAAACTAAATAGCCTCGATTGCTGCTTAATTTATTGGAGACAAGCTCCATACTGAGATCAAACAAGTCGCTCTCGCTTGTAGCACCTTCACTGCCATGAATTTGCTGACCCCACAACCCTCTGCATATTTCTATAAGGAGCATGACAGGCCGGAAAAGAGTAGCCCCGAGGAAAGAAAGGGGGTTAGCTCACATGAGGTTTGGGTTTGTATGATGTTTGTGTAGCCCAATAATTCAGCTAGTTAGGACATAACCTGTACACACATAGTAGCTTAGAAAAAGGCAGTGAGAAAGTCAGATACCCTGAACAAGAATGCACACATGACTTACAGATGCATGGATGTCATGTCTGTCTTTGGTAAACACGTTGCTCTCCAAGAATGCAATCCTGAAATATTTCTACCTAAGATAAAAATACATGCACGCATGAACCTCTTGCATGGCTTTTTTTTTTTTTTTTACTGGGACTATCCCTCAGTCAAAGTGAGGCTTGAGTTTCATTACGAGACCGCTTTAATGACCAGGTTAAGGGCTTGGAATTCCCACAACTTGAACATATGAGGAGGATTTAGCTTGGCTCTTTTGTTCCTGACATGAAACGGCACATTGTTAACCATGGCCTGAAGGCAGAGTGGACAGAGTGCATGGCAACAGGTTAGGATCACAAGACTACAACTTCTGCAGAAGTGTTTTTTTACATTTCATTATTGGTCCAGCATACCAACAGAAAATGTTTCGATCTCCAATTGTTAAAATAAAGGGACTGAAAATGATCTATCTATATGAGGCTTTAGGACAGAAAGAAATCTCAAACTTTAGTGTGACAAGATTCCTAAGCCTAAAGACCTAGTTTATAAAAGAGTGTAGTGAGAGAACATCCACAAAACTTTTACAGAACTACATGTATACATAGATAAAAACGTACCAGTCACTCAGGTGGTGGTGATTTACATGATTAAATCATGAGTAAATCTAATCCCAGACTGAACCAATCAGAACAGTGCTGGGACAAAGTGTGACAATATTGACATATAAAAAATATATAGGGAGAAACATGAACATGTTGAATCTACTTCATTACAACAATACAGCTAAATACAATATACACATAATATCACACAGATTATACAAGCCAGCCAGGCTTTTCATTTCAAGTTCAAAGGTAGGCTTGCTGAACAGAACAAGGTCTCCACAGTGATGGTCAAATGGCCTCAATGACCATCTCCTTTTGCGTTGCTTTTTGTAAACACAACAATTTTCCTCTGCATTGAGGAGCTGCATAGCAGAATGTGCAGCCACGTTCGCAGTCCACTTGTCCACGGTGAATGTTCTTTTGGTGGCTTGTTCAACAAGGCATGGTGCAGGACTAGACATGTATTCACATTTGTAAGTTAGACAACAAGGAGGCTTTAGTAGGAAAGCTGATGTGGGCTGTTGTTCGGAGTCTGTGGCTCTCGTGTTGTGTAGTAGTGCTGTCTGGCTCAGTGTGACCTGATATATACTTGTGGTTTACATCTATTGACGTACTGCATCCACTTTTTTCTAATTCTTTATATACTTTTCTATATTCCACTGTATAGAAATTACCATTTCACTATTGTAGTTTTTGTGATAAACGTAAATTTATTTATTTATTTTTTCACTAATTCACTTATTTTCTACGTCTTGTTATTGTAAATAGTACTATTTTACCTGTTATGGCGTATCAGACAGTGTTACCCAGCACTGCTTTGGTGTAGATTGACTCTTAATCATGCAGGTCACAACCACCTGAGTGATGGATGTGTATATATGTAGTATTTGTTCTGCTCTGTTTAGTTGACAATGCTTGACAAAGATATCTGTCAGATCAAAACTTTGCTCTTTGGGGCAGTACAGTGTGCAAACCTTTTGTTTGACCACAGCCTGGTTTCTAAAGGACAAAATATTCTGTGGCCTCCAGTCTTTTCTCAGTGTCACTAAAGACAAACCATCACGAGGACTGGCCTTTCGATGGTTAAAAAAAACACTCAAGGCTTCCTTCTGTATTGCAAACGGCCGCGTGTTTGTCTGCAGTTATTTGATGTGGGTGAATGTGTCAGGGTCACAGTCAGGAGGTCTCCACCCCACTAGCGATGGACCCCATTGTTCATTGAAGACCCCCCTCTGTGTTATTGAGACATGCTAGTCATCTCCATTATGAAACGTAATTAGGTTGTTGTGCTTATTAACTCGTATTATCGGAGGAGCCCTGAGATGTCTGCATGTGGCTGGTGGTAAGGGATGGATTTGCACATGGCTGTAAATTCATGTTGGCATCTTGTTCTCAGACTGGCAGGAAGAAACAGACACAATGTACATCCTCTATATATGCATGACCTTATCTTCATCCTTAAAGAACAACTACAAAAACATTAAATGGTTTTAGTATTGCCACCTAAACCAAATTATAGCATATGTTTACAAATTTAATCAAAGTACATTTTGAAAATTAATTTGCATAGACTTGAAACTTGGTATTCGATCACATTTGACATAAAGTGCATATAATAATGTGATTATCCGCAGCTGTGTTGTACACTTTGTTCATATGGAACAGGAAATCTGTAGTTAACAAGCAGGTTGTACACATTCCTTTTATTCAAGGGTCAGCTCCGCTTGCATTGAAATTAGTAATCTGGGGGAAAAGTTTCATTCAAAATTAAGAAAAACCTATTAAAGATCTGGAGCTGGAAAATGACAGTATTGACAGAAATGACAGTATTTTTAACTTATAATTATTGTTCCTTGGTAATAACTTAATTTCTTATTTACTCTATTGTGGTGCATTCAAGGACATTCCTTTCAAAGTAATCTGCCAAAAAGCTCTGTATTCATGAGCTTTTCTGTTGGAAAATGACAGCAAATAAATAAACAAAGATTAATTTAAGAGTTGGATGACTTGCAAGAGACGGATTAAAGCAAGAATGGTCATTATTGAGGCGGCAGAGGCTGGTATATCCTGACTTTAGGTCACTAGTATGTGCTAGTACATTTTAAAAAACACTGGATCCTACATTTAGAATAATGCTACTTGTTAGCGTCCTTTTATTAGATACACTCGGCCTGGTGAATCCACTTCTTTCAAACTCCACGTCCCCAGTTTGAAATTCTGGGTTTTTGTTTAATAGTACAGTCTCAAGCCCAATCTGCGACAACCCAGATGTTGTTTTATCAATTATGAAAAAGGGACATTTTGTTGTTGGAAATGTTCTTGTTAATGTTGAGTACAGGAAATCTGTAGTTAACATGCTAAAACGTAGAAAACGATTAATATGAGTCCAACGTCTCGCAGCCATTTCTGCTCTCAGTTTAAATTCAGGCAATCAAGTAGGCCTAAAGCAGAAAATTACTCACTCAGACTCTCTGTTTGATTGGAGTGAATAACAGAGGGTCATGTGTGGAGAGATGCTGTTGAGCTTGTAACAAGTATTGCGTTAATAACAGGAGCCCTTCACTTCCTGTTGGGATAATTGGCACTGAAAGTACTGAAATTGCTCCTGGTGTCACTGGTCTATACCCTGGTGGTCCAAACATACAAACATCTGGCCAACTTCCACTAAGTTTAAATTGTTTCTTTATGTTCCTCCATCCAATTAAACGGAAACGTTTGTCTGTTTAGGTGCTTGTGATTCTTTATGCATTTGCTTAAATAAAAGACTGATGGTACAAAACTTTTAAAGTTGATTGCAATTTTTGACAAAACAGTTATCACACTGATCAGGACAACACACAGTCAAGACAACTGTCTTAAAAAAAAACTATTACACACAACAGAATTGGAAACAAGATTGCAAAAACGACAGTGGAAAAACAAAATGCTGACAGAACAGGTTAAATTCACCAGTTCAGTTGTCCTTGGAAAATGAAATCAGATAATAGGAAGGGAACTTCACAGCTTTCCTTGAGTTGTTCTTTTTTCTCTCCAAAGCTGTCCCTCTTTGCTATTCCCTATTATTACTAGCCTATTATATGTTACTGTTGCTCTGCCAGTTTACAATGATAGCAGTGGCAGATTTACCACTTGAAATTCTTTGAAATATTTGAAATGATTGGTCCTTGATTTCAGACAGAGGTTTATCAAAAAAGCTTCTCATTTCTAGCTGGCGACTGTTGATTCTGCTGATTAACATCATCATGTCGATAGCTAGCAATTTAAGCTAGCTAGCTGCATTTAGTTGATAAATATTTTGTATCGATGTCTTCAGCGGACATTAACTTCTCCACCTGACTCTGCAAAGCAGGACTTAAAACAGGCTATACATGATAATTGAGGCTAAAGCGAAATGTCCCAGGCAAAACAAAAATCAGTATTCTCATCGTTTGATGATTAATGTAGAAGTAAATGAAGGTACATCATTGTTCTTGTATTGCAGTGTAGTTAACCCAAGTACTATAAGGCCAAATATAAGATCACACTGTTGCTGTATGTTATAGCGTCCATACTTGGACAACATAATTTAGTAGAAGTCTGTATTGCTTTTTAATGTCACAACAGAAAAAGCTTTTAGGATTAAGACTAACCAATGTGCTCAGCAAATATAACGCTATTTCAGGTGGCGAGTTTGGCTGTGGTTGCTGGGATGTAAACGTCCCCCAGTCTAATAAAGAGCTTCTATAACATTGCTCTAATGCTGCCCAAGGATCACTCTACCCCACAGTACTCCATGTAAGTTGCACAGGTTTTAGACTTTACAGTCAGGTCTCTGGTATTTCAGGACTTCAGCAAAAAACAGACTCAAAACCCAAAATAAACCTTGGATGTTGCCAGCTCACTACTCACAACATGTGCACCACCGGAACGCTTTTTAAATGGCAGCAATACATAATGACATGATGACTTAGCATTGCCTTTGGCAGGCTGGTAATTGTTTTCAGGTTTAAATGAAGTCAAGACTGAAAATATTTAGATAATGTCTCTTAGGTGCTTTGACCGAGAAGATGATCATTTCCACACACAAACGTAAACACTCAATTAAGGCTAAGTTAGCCTTTTTTAATTAGCTGACTAATAGCTATACTAATAGCTAAATTCTCATGTGTTCTTTGTATTCACTTGTCTTGTGAGTGATTAAATGTGTTTCTATACACCTATTTTTATGGGTTAAAATATTGCAAAATACTTTTTCTGCTTGGCTGAGGTGGAAAAGTTTGTACTTAAATGAAATGAACACATTTTTGGGAGGAGTCATTCCATTTCTTGTAGACATGTTTCTGTGTCTGAGGCAATCCCTGAGTCACACAGATTATTTCACTTTCACCCAGAAAACACTTTTACTTTCTCACAAACTTTGTCACTGGACTTCCATAATGCCACTAAATATTAGACGATTATGGCGCATAATTGTCCACATCTGCTTCTCATATGGTCAGAGGTTATGCTCAACGGCACTCTCTGTGACACTTCAGCGGGTGGAAATGTTAGGGTTGGTCTCCCTCCTCACTGTGGATGTCACCGTAACACCAGGCAAAGGTCATGAGCCTGATTCTCACCTGCAAGGGACAGTACGCTCCACATTCCTCTCTTATTGACTCAGCGAAGTAAGACCTCCATTGGATCCAGGGACTGACCTCAGTGGAACCTGAGGAATGAGGAGCTGGTTGGCAGGTGAGGAGATGAATCCTGAATAGGCAGCAGTTGGACTCCGAGTCCGTCCTCTCTGGCTCCAAGCCCAAATCTCAAAGGGGAATGTGCAACCGTGACATACCCTGCCAGGGACAAGTAACCTGAGACGATCTCCTTATAGGCCATCATAATCAAGAATTTATCTTATCTTGTTTAACTGTTAGGATGAGGTGACGGTGTTTGGGATCTGATCCAGGGGTGACTTTTTATCTGAAACTGTTTCAGGAACAAATCTATATAAAGCCTTGCAAAACACAGAAAATGGTGAAGAAGTATCTTCTTTGGTTTGACAGAAAGCCTGATAATCAGTTGTTAATCAAAGAATTACATACAAATTTGAGTTATCTGAAATCTTATATCTTATAAAATAGAGAATAGGAAGCAAACAACAACGGGAACACCAGACCAAAACAAGTCACAGCACTGACTGGGATAAGATCAAGTTGGCCATTCAACACCAAAGACCACCTTTAAAAAAAGACAGGAGTTGTGAACTTGCTCCGTTTACGTCTTCTTATCCAGTCAAGTATTCATAAAAATGAAGGGAAGTGCAGGGAGTTGTGTGCTCTATATGTATAAGGGTATGAAGGATGGTGGATAAGACTTTCATGCTGGAGTCTGGAGTTCACAACCTGCCACAGACCAACAATTAACCATACCCATGATCTTTAACCAAGAGTTTATTTGCCATAGCCACAATCTTTCCATGACCATACAATAGCTGCCATGTAGAAATATTGCAGAAAGCAGGTGTTTAAAAAATAAATGGATGTAAAGAAAGACATTTGATCTTGTAGGTCAAGTTTCAATTTGCAGAAGAAGGCTAGGAGATTCAGTCGAAAGCTCTGCAGAAATCTTGTAAATGAACCCTGAGTTTAGAATATTATATCACAGATAAACTTTCCCGAGACAAGATTGAACTTCCACGCTCAACGCTGATTGTGTCTACATTGGTTTACCATTGCTTTTATTGTTCTCCTTAATCATTCTTTATCTAATTATATTTTACATCTTTTATGCAATTTGTAAAGCACCTTGCAAAGCTATGTCTCCAAAATGTTAACCCTGATTGCACCTCTCATTTTAGCTTAACCATGACATTGTTTTTAGGAGCAGTTTCCCAACCTATAGAGGAACACAGTCATCAAGTGAAGTGTAGTGATCCCCAAAAGATTAGCATCATGATCATTTCAAAATATTGCCCAACAATATTTACTTAGGATTTTCTAAACTTTCTGGTACTCGTCATGTTTTCTCAGTGTCCCACTCGGTTCTACGGCAGGATAAAACAAATGTCTAGAATACCAAATGTGATGTTCAAACTGAATGAGCCTCTCAGCACGATGGGATTCAAGGTAGCAGCTCATTGTTTGATTTCTGTGTGCAGCACTACGAAGGGTCCCTTTTGGCTGGCAGAAGGAGATTGATAGCGACATCAGTGCAAACCACCAGGGTCCTCTGCACTGTCTGATGGAAATACTGTTTAGTGTGGAAGAAGTCAAGGTTAAAAGGCTCGTGCCACAGTGGGAGCAGAGGATGTGGGAGTGGCACTCGACAAACAAGCCTCCACAGCTCAGACAACAAAGAGACGCCGTCTTTTGACATTGCTGATCTGTCATTTACCGAAAATAACCCCAGAGGTTCAAACCATGAAAATCTCAAGTGGAATTTCATAAACCGAATTTAAATACCTTAAATCCATCATAACTGCTTTCGTTGAACAATTTATCCTCCTGATATTATTTGATAGAAGAAACAATAGAATTTAAAATGTGAAGATAGAGAGAGAATCAGCTGATAAATTTTCTGCCTCAGTGATCTTCCTGATGACGCAAGAAGGAAGGAAGGATTTTATGTTCTTGTATTGGGCAGTAAATATCAAAAAAGAGGAAAGAAACCAAACCTACAATCCTTAGTCTGTGCTCACTACCTATAAATTTGAAGGCTGCAGAAAACTTTAGTAAAGGCTCAGAGTAGGAGCCATCTCTATCACAAGCATTCTCTTCCACACCATTCATAAATACAGAAGCTCATTATTTACACCTTCAGTGTTGGACACAGTTTTGCAGCTGTGTTCCAGTAAAATGGAGTTTACAACATTCTGCAGCATTTCTTTCTCAAAGAATTGGTTGGAGGACAATATTCGTACTGAACTGAACCTTTAATCTCAGGTGAGGTTAGTGAGTCCCGATCTGCTGCCTCAACCTTTGAGCATGCTTTGTGCATTAAATCAACATGGGCAATTTTGGCAAGAAGATTTCTGATGTGATCTGGGAATCATCCAGTGATTTGATCCATACAACCACCATACAGAGTGTGTCATACACAACTTTAAGATATTTCCCAGCCTACACCTTTCTAAAAGTAGACTTGGTGAACTCTGTCCAGAATTTGATCCAAGCTGTCAGTGCAGTGACTAGCCTCAGCAACCCTTATTCATCCATTTTGGTCAAGCCCAAGTTCAATATTGGTTCTGGGATAAGGTTTTTGAAAGTTTTTTATACACGTTCAACAAGGTCATAGATCAGAACCAAGTTTGGCAGTTTTACGTGCAACATTGGATACGCTATTCAATGCTCAGTTAATCAATTCCATAAACTAGAAAATGTTACTGTATAGCGCTACTGTGTGACCTCCACAGTTTGGACGTGAAAGTGATTTGTGGAGTAGTTAAACTCAGCAGGATTTACTTGATTCCTTGTCTTGTAATCAGAAGAAATACATAATTTATTAAGATTCTTAGATTCTGTCTTTTAGCGGCCACTGGTCAGCCCATTGTTGACAAGCCAGTCAGAATATGATCACAACATCAGGATTTAATATTAATGGAGATTTAGGGACATAAAACTTCCTTAATAGATCAGAGGCTTGTAGCTTTAACTTCCCACTTTTCCTCCAAAGTCAGAGTTTGTTATTGCACCACAGCCCAGTGTAGGTACCAGATGTGCTCAGGTTGTCAGATCTGCTCAGCGCCAGCGCCTGCTGGTAACGTCACACAACGTGATTGGCTGTACGTTTGTATGATGACGTGGCAGATGGTGATTGGCT